ACAAGCAGCCCGAATTTTTCGAATCTACCTGTCCCGTATCCATAGTATATATATTCATCTGCTTTTTCTCTGCATCTGCTCTTGACTTTAATACTGATACTCATAGCAATATTAATATTAATACTAAAACTAAAACTAATACTTATATTGATATAGATAATGATACTAATACCAATACTCATACTGATACTCATAGTAATATTAATACTAATATTGATACACATACTAATATTGATACTCATACTAATATTGATACTCATACTCATACTGATACTCGTACTAATATTGATACTAATATTGATATTGATATTGATACTGATACTGATACTGATATTGATACTGATACTGATAGTGATATTAATATCGATGCTGATATTGATATTGATATTGATATTGATACTGATATTGATACTCATATTGATACTGATATTGATACAAATGTTTATACTGATACTGATACTAATACTGATACGAATACGAATACTGAAACTAAAACTGAAACTGGTACTGACACTGATATTGATACTGATAATGATACTGATATTGATACTGATACTGAAACCGATACCGATACCGATGCCGATACGGATACTGATGCCGATACTAATGCCGATACCGATATTGATACTGATACTGATACTGATACTGATATTTAGACTAATATTGATACTGATATTTAGACTAATATTAGTATTAATATTAATACTAATATTAATACTAATACTAAAACTAATATTAACAGTAATATTAATGCTAATATTAATACTAATACTATTAGTAATACTATTACTAATGCTAATATTAATACTAATATGTTAATATTGTTAATGTAAATGCTAATGTACATATTCTAGTGCTAATACTAATTTTAATGTTAATATTAATATGCATGGATATACTTATGCTCATTATAATTGTAATACTAATATTATCCAAATCCTTATCCTATTCCTAATCCTATTCATAACACTAATCATGATCCTAATCCTAATCATAATTCTAATCCTAAACCTATTTCTAACATTAATTATAATCCTAATAATTTTACTACTAATAATACTAATGTTAATGCTAATGTTAATTCTAATTTTAATTCTAACCATAATCCTAATCCTAATGCTAATCATAATCATAATACTAATACATGTCACTAATTGTAGTACTGATCAATATTCATAATCTTAATTATAATTTTAATACTAATATTAATCATGATCCTAATTAATCCTAATATTAATTCTAATGTTATATTAACCCTAATTACAACTCGAATCCGAATCCTAGTATGAATACTAATACTAATTCAAAGAATATTACTTATAATTATAATTTTAATACTAATCTTAATCACAGTCCTAATTCTGATTTGCATCAATGTTTTGCTATTATCTATTATTTTTATAAAAAACAATTCTATTCAATCTCGCAACTTTATATCTAATTCCTTATGTGTGGTACCTGAAACATCAAGAAACACATATTAAATATATTAGAAATTAATATTTAATTATATTATCAAACTGACATTAAAATTATTTAAAATAATATAAGGGTATAAGCAAACGTTAAGACGTGAAAAGAACGAATCGTTGTTAATAGGATAAATTACGAAAATCCACATTAAATTAGGCTAAATTACAGAAAGCACCCCCACTTATCGGTAATTACCAAAATCCCCCAGATGATTGTTTATGTCTTACACGACCCCCTTATGGTGTGATTTTTTACGGAATCGTTTTTATTCCATGTAATATCCCAAATTTTGTGGATTTTACCCTTGCAGACGTGACATTTCTTTTATCTTACTTTTTAAATACAAAAATTACCCTAAGGGGAGGTATTAGTAATACTAAAAAGTTGTGAAGATGTTATTTAAGAAGAATAAATATTTCGTGTAAAGACAAAGTTCCCCTACAGGGTAATTTTTGTATTTAAAAAGTATCATAAACAAATGTCGTGTGCAGGATAGAATCTGCATTTTTCAGGGAATATTCCACGTAGTAAAAAAAAATTGCTTGAACAATCATACCGTAAGGGGGTCGATGTAAGACGGAAACAAACATTAGGAAAATTTTGGTAATTACGAATATGATATTAAATTAGTAAAAAAGATAAACATATTCTCTGGTCATGTTCAGGTAAAATGTATAATATCAAATAATTTATTCTGCAATATTTTTTTTATATAAATCCAAGTTTATGAATTAAAATACAAAATTTTCGTAACACCATCAATCATATAATTATAATAAGTGAAGATTTTAAATTGAATTTAAATAAATTTAAATTAAATTAATTACTATTAAAATTAAATTAAAAAATAAAACTATTTAAAGTTTCCAAGAAAGTTGATATATTTAGAACATTTTATAAATGATATGATATAAATATATAATAAAATAATTTAATATCTTTTTAATTTTGGAAAATGGTGACATGTTTTTTGATGATTTATTTCCACCAATCAATTTGCCACATGAGATGGAATTGAATACATGTCACCAATTGAAATTGACAAATGTCAATCAATTAGGTGTGGAATTCAACTTTTATAGATTATATAGATTAGGTGTGGAATTCAACTTTTATATATTATATAGATTATATAGATTATATTATCAAACTGACATTAAAATTATTTAAAATAATATAAGGGTATAAGCAAACGTTAAGACGTGAAAATAACGATAATCGTTGTTAATAGGATAAATTACGAAAATCCTCATGAACTTAGGCTAAATTACGGAAATCACACCCACTTATCGGTAATTACCATAATCCCCCAGATGCTTGTTTATGTCTTACACGACCCCCTTATGGTGTGATTTTTTACGGAATCTTTTTTATTCCACGGAATATCCCAAAAATTGTGGATTCTACCCTTGCAAACATGACATTTCTTTTATCTTAGTTTTTAAATGCAAAAATTACCCTTAGGGGAGGTAATAGTAATACTAAAAAGTCGTGAAAATGTTATTTAAGAAGAATAAATATTTCGTGTAAAATCCCCCTTAGGGTAATTTTTGTCTTTAAAAAGTACCATAAACAAATTTCGTGTGCATGGTAGAATCTGCATTTTTCGGGGAATATTCCACGTAATAAAAAAAATCCGTGAAAAATCATACCGTAAGGGGGTCGATGTAAGACGAAAACAAACATCAGGGAAATTTTGGTAATTACGAATATACTATTAAATTAGTAAAAAAGATAAACATATTCTCTGGTCATGTTCATGTAAAATGTATAATATCAAATGATTTATTCTGCAATATTTTTTTTATATAAATCCAAGTTTATGAATTAAAATACAAAGTTTTCGTAACACCGTCAATCATACAATTATAATAAGTGAAGATTTTAAATAGAATTTAAATAAATTTAAATTAAATTAATTACTATTAAAATTAAATTTAAAAATAGAAACTATTTAGAGTTTCCAAGAAAGTTGATATATTTAGTGCATTTTATAAATGGTATGATATAAATATATAATAAAATAATTAAATATCTTTTTAATTTGGAAAATGGTGACATGTTTTTTGATGATTTATTTTCACCAATCAATTTGCCACGTGGGATGAAATTGAATACATGTCACCAATTGAAATTGACAAATGTCAATCAATTAGGTGTGGAATTCAACTTTTATATATTATATAGATTAGAAAACTAACTTAAAAAAGCTAACAATTTATTGCTTTGAATGTTGTCAAATTCAGCCTCTAAAATTGTCAATATCACATTTAAAAATCTAAATAATATTATTAAAACTGAAACAATATTTATCACCCCTATCTATATACGTTACAAAGATTATTCATGCATTATAAGGTTAATTTAAATCATATATTCGAACAAAAAAACGTATATTTGAACTCGGTAGAATAATTTAAATATAGAGAAATGTGCACGAGTCTACATTGTGTGAAAATAGACAAATTGCCAAATATTTAGGTACTCTTTTGAGTATAATGGACTAATGGGGCTTCTAGATAGGCCCACTTGGTATTATGGTAACTCACTATTTTTGAAAGAATACCCAAAAAGCCCATTGGACCATCAATTTTCAATCAAACAAATTTGGCCCAAATATTCAATTGTTGTTTTTAATTATCGAAATTACTACTAAAATTTCTTGGGGCCGAATTAAATAAAATCACCCATAATTCAATATTTAATCGAACAAATTCCAGAATATCGGAATTTTACACCATAGTTTTATGCAAATAAATACTCAGTAAGCACAAATAAAAGGTTTTAATTCAGAAAATTAAAAAAAAAATCTAAGTAATTAAATGTTTTCAAGGAAAAAATAAAAAAAAAATTAAAATTTCCCAAGTAAAGTTGACCGAAAATGTTAAAAAATATAGTGGAAAATGGCTCAAACAAACCCTTATATTTATAGGTTTAGCAGGGGTATTTTCGTCATATTTTGGAAAAAATATAATATCAGGGGGGTTTTTGTATTTATGTGTAGTACATGGGGGTAAATGATACAAAGTCCATAGTACAGGGGTGTTTTTGTATTTAACCCAATTTTATATGAAACGATTTTTGATTGAATTTGCATTAATTTCACAAGAGATTATGGACACATACTTTTGGGCTGGCGTGCATGAGAATTTGTGAACAATTTATGAACAAATCACAATCATCTACTTAATTTGGGATTTTTTTAAATTTATTTTTGGGACCTAAATTTAATTTGGGATGTGACCTTCGTTTTATTCTTTTTAGGCTTATAATCTTGTTGTCATGCTTAATGCACGTGGCCATTTATCCTTCTCTTGTATTGTGCAGAATTTTCTTGATCATTTATAAACAAAATTAACATCTACCAACATTTCTAACTTTGTAATAACTATTGAGGAACATTAGTCCCACACGTACGTAACACAATGAAAAACAAAAAGGAGGATAAGAAATAAGGTAGGTTCGAACCGACTCGATTTTCTCAAAAAAATAAGTTATTTTGAAATAGATGATACATTCTGTATAATAAGTTATCGACTTATCGTGGCTCCTTTAACCATAGGATTTTGATCTTGATGGGATCAGTTTGGCAAGTATGGACCGAACTCTTAAAAATGAGCTCATACGTCGAGAAATTGATTGGGTGGGCCGAGATGGATGTACCTTGCCGGCCCAATAAACATAGATTGGGCATGAAACTCACTTACGACACACTTATTTCCAAATTGTCTCTTTCTCTCTTGCTTTTATCTTTTTTCGGTCCATTAGTTTGTCTTTGCCGGCTAAACACCGGCTTCAGATGTACTCTCCGACAAATGAAGGGGTTGAATTTGGAAGGAGGTCTTAAGGATGCGAATATGGACACTTATATTAGTGGAGATATAGCTAGATAGATAAATGAACATATACTTCTAACCAAAAAAGAAAAATAGATGAACATATTCAATTTGCAGTTAGAATGACTAAAAAAACAAAATTAGAAAAAAAGGTCAAAAAATTTATTTTTGCACACAAATAAAAAGGAAATAACACTACTCATGTTATTTGAACTTTGTGGACATGATCCCTTGTACTTTCTATATAGCATATGACCTCCATGTATTTCAATATAAACACGTATCCTCCTCGTACTTAAAAAAAATCACTTTCCTAATGAACATGATTATTTACAAAGTGGAATATCATAGACAGATTGTGTGCTAATATTAAAAGTATAAGGTAAGGGCGCCGTGTGCACAAAATTCAAACTACAGGGCATTGTGTACACAAAGTTTAAACTATATGGGTTTAAGTGCTATTTAGCCAAAATAAAAGGACATTTTGCTTAAATATGACATAGGACAAATATTTGAAGAGCCAAACTTTAATTTAAAAAAAAAAGAAAAGAGGAAGGTCTGCATGTTGAATCTTAAGCTAAAAGCAGAATAATTAATAAAAGGTTGCTCCTACGCAACTGTTTCAAACTTCAAACTTTAAATTCTTTTTTCAGCTCAACAAAACCTAAATTAATGTCTGAAACCGACCAATAATTCAAATCAAACACCGCCTTCGATGCCGAACCGGATTCCTCTGTTCATCTGTAAGTCACCTCGTTTTTTTTTGGGATTTTTTAATTGGGTTTTCTCCGCAGATGGGTTTTCGTGATCAACGATTCTTTGTGTATGTTTCAGATGGAAGAAGACGATGAAGAAGAAGTAGAGTTTTTTAGTTCATATAGCGTCTGATCTTATGTTTATATCTTCTGTGTTGTTGTAAGAGATATTTTTTTTTTTTTTTTTTTTTTTTTTGAGTTGAATGTTGTTTTGAAAATGGCGGTGAGAGACAAAAGGGATATTTCCATAAACCCTGTAATAATAAAATTCGGGTTGGCTTTGGCTTTGTCTATTGGTGGGATTGTCTACACATTTTTCAGAAGCAAAAGAATTAAACCCTCCGAGCCAAAACCTTCACTGCCTAATCCAGGTTTTTAATTTAATTTTTTTTAGTCTAAAACCCTAAAATTCTTGTAGGAGATGAAGTTGTTAACCGTGTTCCGATTTATATCCGATTTTTGCTTGATGTACAGGTAAGAACAGTCGGGTTGATTCAAGAGAAGATATCGATCGTGCGTTGCAGGTACCGTAAAACCCCCGTGCAGTTCTTGCTTTGTTTGTATTGCACCGGATAAGTTTTACATGATCAGTAGATTACTTTTCGGATTTTTTCGGTTAAACTATGGGTTTTTGGTCGTGATAAACTATGGGTTTTTGGTCGTACTACTTTGTTCGATATCGTTGTCTGTTTTGCTTCCGATTTTGAAATATATATATTGTTCTATTTCTTGCAGGATATCTCTCTCCTAAAAGTGTCGCCTCGGAATTCGATTTCCGATAATCTCCCCTCAAGTCGTAGGAGCAATGAAGACAGAGGCGGCGATTTTCTCTCACACGAGCTCAATCAGCTTGTAAGAGAATACGAGACAGCTGTCACAACCGATGATGTTTCTCCGGGGACAAACATGCAATCCTTAGAGGAACACGAGATAGAGATTAGGAATCTACGAAGTAAGGTTGAAATTCTCGAAGAACGAGAGATACTCCTGGAAAATCAACTGCATATGTGCCACTACGACCTTCGAGCAGAGGAATCTGCTGTAGCGGAGCTCCAAAACAGGCTACGATTGCACAACATGGAGGTCAAACAATACAACCTTAAAATCGAGACGTTGCAGTTGGATAAAATAAAATTAGAGGAAAAAGTGGCGGATTATGCAAACGTTGTGAAAGAGCTCGAATCCGCGAAAGCAAAGATAAAGATGCTGAGGAAGAAACTTACGTTTGACGCCGAACAGAATAGAGAGCAGATTTTGAACCTTAAGGAAAGAGTGATGAAGATACAGAACCAAGAAAAGAAAGGTTTCGAAATCAGTCGAGATTTGAAATTGGAGGAGGATTTTGAGGAGATGAAGAAGTGTAACTACAGGTTGAAGATGGAGAATTTTGAGTTGGCTCAGAAATTGGAGTTTGCACAAACGCGGGTTGCGTCCGATTTAGACGATAAAGAGGTAATATCCTTTGTTTATGTTTTCTTGATTTGTTTATTTCTTTTAGGAATTAGGCTTCGTTTGGATCAAGGAAAATACGAAGTAAAATGATGAATAAGAGTAGGTAAAATAGCTTTTCTGTTTGGTTAGTAGGTAAAATTAGGAATGGAAATTGTGAATTCCGCCGATTCTGATTCGAAAATTTTCGGGTTAAAAAAAACATTTTTCATTCCGAATTCCGAAAGTTATGATTCTGATTTTTCCGATTCTCTTCGGGACGAATTTGGAATGCGTATTAGATTACGATTTCCGATCCGATTTGAATTTCCGGATATTCCGAAAATATTTCCCGATTCTTTGTTTTCATTTGATTTTGCATTTTCATTTTCCTCATTTCAATATCCACGAACCAAACAAATCCTTAGTAGTTCATCGATGGATCACGACTGTTCTATGTGAATTTTAAAGAATTTTTTTTCTTTTCTTTTTATCTATTAATCAGATACAAGCACTCAAAGAAGAGAACCAGCTTTTAAGACAGCAAAAGGACGATTTAAGTAAAGAAATCGAGCAAATGCAATCCGACCGTTGCACGGACATCGAAGAGCTCGTCTACCTCCGATGGATCAACGCTTGCCTGCGCTACGAGATGCGAAATCACCAGCCTGCCGCCGGTAAAACCATCGCGAGGGACCTGAGCAAAACATTAAGCCCCGAATCGGAGAAGAAAGCCAAACAGCTCATACTCGAATACGCACACAAAGAAGGCACGGGCCCCGCAGATATCAATATAACCGACTTCGATTCGGACCGGTGGTCCTTTTCTCAAGGCTCGTACGATGATTTGTTCGTCGAGAATTCGTCGGAGAATAAAACAAACCATCCAACGAAAACGAGAGTCTTTGGCAAGTTGATGAAGCTATGGCGAGGAAAAGACAGCCTAAATCATATTCAGACAACATTAGATGTGTCTGAAAACGAGAGTGGTGGTGGTCTTGTGAAGACGACGAGAACATCTTCCGTGGGGGGTAGGTCTGCACATTCTCTTGATATACAGAGATCTTCTTATTCACGGGGTCCGAAGAGTACGAATGGAGAAAGCAGCAATTGTTCTAGAAGAATTAGTGAAGATGGTTCGTTGAGTATATTCAAAACAATCGACTCAGAATACGATGAAAGCCATCAAAATGCTCAAAACGATGCAGAGAAGAAAGAATTGGTGAAATATGCCGAAGCACTTAAGGGCTCTCGTGTGAAATCACAGTATGGCCGAAGATCAGCCTCGTTTGCCTTGTAAGAAAACGGGATTTGTTGCGAAGAGTTATGTTAGTTAGGAATGTTTATATAGTTTGTGTCTCGATTTCAATATAGAAATAAAAGAAAGAAAGAGAGATAGCTGTAAAGAAATAGCATTGTTGAAATAGTGTATTTCAAGTTCTCTGTACCGATCTAAACATTGAAGTGTAATAAGTGAAGGAAAGTTTTACGAGACGAAATTACTAGCAAATTAATAATGTGTTAAAATAATATCAATATAAATAAAGATGATGAGAAAACAGGGACCATTGGGTGATCTGCATCCAGTTGTTACAGAAAGGCGACTCGAAGACTTTTGGACTTGTGGGTCCCGCTGATTTTCGGGCCGTCGCTTCTATGGTTACGTCGGCGTTTCTTTGTGATGGTACGTTTTCTTACTCAGTCAACTATGAATTTGACATGTGTTTTGTGATAATGTTTGTGCATGGTGAAAGTTTTAACTGGTTTGATTTGATTTGTGTTGTTTCGATAATTTTCTGGGGTTCATGCGTAAAGTCTTAATATGCGTGCATTTCGAGTGTTGTGCATATTTACTATTTAACGAACTCGTGTGAGTTTCTCGACTTTTTCGAGACAAGATTGATCGAAGTGTAATTCAATCATGTAGACTTAATTTGCTGCCCTTTATAAGCTTTTAACTGTTTCAATACATAGTTGTCTTTATTAGGACAACAAATCACCATTACATAACAAGCTCACCGAATTTCCCCTTCAGGGACAGGACGATATGAAGAAAAAAAAAAACAAATTCAAGAAAAAAAAAGATAAAAACAAATAGACAAAACAAAGTATGTCTCGGAGGAAGCAAACGCCCTAGAGACCTTGTATTGTTGTAACAGACAGCAAAAATAACTGCAAGATTACGAAATAAGGGCTATGCCTTGAATAATCAAACTGTCTGCAAGAACTTGATTAGCAGCCTCGGACGGATGAACACTGTCCCAAAACACGTACTGAGTTGCGTTACTACAAGTCCCGAACGACTTCGAATTGCACAACAACGATGTTGTCTCCACTGTTCCGGTCCCGCAGCAGCCCTTCGTTGCTTCTGTAAAGCCTACACACACACACACACAGGGAGAGAGAGAGAGTTAACTGTCGGTTCGTATTAGGAATGTGTACAAGTTTTGTAGTAAATATATTAGTTTGAGGTTATTACCACTTTTCTTAGGATTGGCAATGAGGTCATAAAGGGGCTGGAATACGTCGAAGATGACGATCTTTAACCCTGGGAGCTGCTTCTGCAACTGAGTTGCGGCTGAGTTGATCTTCTTGTTGAACTGTTGAGCGTCGGTGTTGATTCTTGAAACACAGCCACTTTCATGGAAGCCGAAGAGGGTTCTTGTCGCCGGGAGACAGCCTAGTGGTGGTAGTGAAGTGACTCCTATTCTTCTTGCTCCTAGCCCATGTAAGTCCTGTTTCGATTAATTTTTTCGTTTCGTTCGTTAATTCTTGATTTTGGATGTGCAAAAGAATTGAATCTTGAAAATGGTTAATAGTATTAAGAAACTCGACCTCGTTTGGTTGTTGAGATTAGCCATGATTAATTAGACAATTGGACTTTAACGGACGTTTGGTTAGTTCAATAACTTTTCGTGTCAGGCCCGTAATTGTGGAAAAAACTCTAATCTTGGCTAATTGGGATTTAAATTATTGAATTTCCCATGATCCAACAATATAATCGGGTTTTCATAAGAATATTTCATCGTTTTCTTGAATAATAATATGATCTCAGAAACCAAACAAGGCCTTAGCAAATTACCTCCTAAAATTTCATCATTTATGGATTTGTATACCAAAAATGTTTTTTTTATATTAATAAACTCGAAAAAAATCGTAACTTTTTGAGTATTAAATGCAATAAACTCGAGAACTGGCCAAAAAAATCGTAACTTTTTGAGTATTTTACCTCGATGAAGGTTAGTGAAAAATTGACATGTGTAAATGGATCTTGAATATAAATATATAAATATACCTTGATAAAGCTGTTGAAAATGCCGACGAGGTACGAGGAATACTGGTCGGGAGTGTAGGCTTTGTTGAGGAAAGGGTTGATGTAGTAATTCTGGACAAAGTCACTACTGCCAGCAGCAACTAGGTACAATGCATCCTTAATAATTGATGCTGCCTGTTTACTACCTGCTACCTTTGCTAGGTTAACTTGGTACTCTTTGTAGTACTTCAACTGCTGTGACAGTGGAATTACATGCTGCAAAAAATACATTTTTAAAAAATAAATAATTTTATTTTTTTAAAATTTAATATTTTTTTTTATTATTTTCTTACTTACACTTAAAAGGGATGTGTGGTCATCATATCCAGCACCAGCAGAAGCAAAGTTGGCTCCTAGTAAAAGATTCTTCCCAGATGCTTGTGGGCTTAGATACGGCGGTGCGAAGCTCGTAAATCCCAAAGTTTCGGCTGCCAAACAAAAAAAAAAAAAAAAAAAAAAAACGAACTTCTTGAACTCGAATTCTTGTACATTATTACAAAAAAAAAAAAAATTAATAATTTTTTTTTTTTATACCGGTGATGTCGGTGGCGAGTTTGCCGTTACAGAATCTGCCGGTGGGTTGTTTGTTCTTGAAATCTCTGCCATAAGGAGGATAATCTGCTTTGAAAATGGTGGGTATGTAGTCGTTGTTTCCGACATCGACTACGGAATCTCCGAATGTAATGATCGCCGGTACTAAAGTGACTGACTGTGAGTTAACACAAATGCAGAACAATGCAAAACACAATGCATATACTAAAACAACTCCCATTTTTTCTTTTTCTTTTTTTTTACTTCACTCAAAGCTTGAGTTTCTCAAGGCTACTTTCAAGAACTTATATATATATATATTTGTGTGTGTGTGTATAAGTGTGTGTTTGGTGGTAAAGAGTCTTCCCCAGTGTTGAATAATGGTGGATGAGCGTTGGGATTGGCATTAATAGATTTTCTCGAAAGGTAGTTCTGCGGCATTAAAAGCTTTTTGCAACTTAATTAATGCAGCCTCCTTTATTTCATCTCAGATTTCCTCAACCTTATGCACATAATTATCTAGGGAAGAAGCCAACAACAAAAGAGAAAGAAAAAAAAAATATGGCTAAGCTTATTCAAAACAACTGATAAGCTCTTACATCAGATAAGTTGTTGCTGGAACCGATAAGCTTTACGTCTTATTTTTTTGAATTAATTCTCAGGTGGTGTTTGCAAAAGCTGATAAAAATAGATTATGAGCTTTTTTCTGCACATAATCTGTTTTTAGGTATTTGCAAAATATGTTTTGCTTTTGCTTTTGCTTTTCTAAAAATAAGTTGCTTTAAGCTTATTATGTCCCTATGTACCTGTTTTTTCTATTTTAGTTGTGTTTTTAATTAGATTGCGAACATCCTGAACTTTAAAAAATAAGCACTTCATTCCAACTTAACTCAGAATCACTAACTTCTACTTTTAAATAAGCTTTTGCAAACACCACCTTAAACTGTTTTGATGATGAACTTATAACTATTTTTACTCATTACAAGATCTTAAATAAAAAAGTCGCGCATACGTAATTAAAAAAAATAAAAATTTAAAAGCTTTCCAACGCTTATTTTCTAAATTTTCAAGATTTTTGTAAAAAAATTATCAAACACTTTATAAGAGCTTATAAGCTGAGCCAAACACAAAATTACTATTTGTCACTTAATTATACTAACCTCTCCCAAAGTGGGTTCCGCTAATGAAATCGAGGGTTCGAATTCGTGCGGGTGCGTGTGTTTTAAAGACCACGTTATATTTATTAGAAAGATAATTAAAAGAAAATTAAATAAAATAAATTAAAAAAAATTGATAGTTGTCAATTGTCAAGAACAACTAAGAAATTGAGAAGCAAAAGTAGTTGGGGGATATATACAGAAAACGCATTGGATTGCGGCCACGAGGGTGTAGTAATTGCTGCATGTGATTTGAGTTAATTTGTTCACAAATTATTTGTCTCAAGAGAAATATATCTATAAACATTATTACTTTATTTTTATTTATAATTATCTATTTCTTGAAATAGTTGGCTTTTGTTATTATACACCAAATAAATTGTATGTATATATATATATATACAGCAGTCGTAATCGAATGATTTATTGCTTGTAATAAAGTTTTTCGGTGCTAAAAAAAGTGTGTGGTATAAGTAATTGTCCAAAAAATTGAGATGTAAATTAAGTGCCAATTTAAGAGTTTTTTTTAATCAATAATTTGGTCCCAAAAAAAAAGGTGCACAAGTAATTTTTTTTTTTTTTTGTATTTAATGTTATGTTTTTTCCTTAAGTTCAAATTGTTGTTTTGTATGTGCAGTTGTGTGCAGGTATTTTCACGTGTACATGAATTTTAGGAAAACATAAATACTGTGACTGATGTGCAACTAATTACTGTCGATAACTCGGTTTTGTAGATGTTACACCTACTGAAATACATCAGGTGATTTTAAATTATAAATCGACACGTAATAACACATATTCATGTGCACGTGTGCATAGTGAGTGGTTATTTTGTATGAATCTACGGTTTAAAATCACTCTAAGTATTTCATCGGATGTAATATTTCATAAAACCTATAGTCCGTTCATACCATTTTATTTCTTGTTTAAATTATATACACGCAATAACACATACACTAATGTGTATATGTGCGTAATGAATGGGTTTGGCCTATGTATTTTCGTGTTAGATTTACCATCCTGAAAGGTGAATTAATAAATGTGTGTAACGAATGCATTTATTGGACACCCTTTTATTTTTTCTTATTTATTTTTTTTAGTAAAAGATTTAGACAGCTTTTATTAAACTCCTGCTTTTTTCACACGGTTGTGTATAATTGATTGTAGGCGATGTTTATATTGCAATTTTAACATAAAGTTTTAAATAGATCGAAATATGGACACTCTCTTCAAATATCTTTGATATTTGTCACAAAGTACGCCAATCTGTAGCATTGGCGGAGTCAGAATTGGACCAGGGGGCCATGGCCCCCAACATTTCTTAAGTGTCTATTATTAGATATATAAAAAAAAAAAACCTTGTATATTAGTATTAACGATTTTCTTATAATTTTTTTAATACAAGGTTAATGCTAATATTGTCGGCCCCTTAATACAAGGTTCATTGATCCACTTAATACAGTCGGCCCCTGAAGACTAAAAATTCTGGCTCGGCTAGCGATTGTTAGGTATACTTTGCCAAAATAAATATAAATATCAAAATATTCGTTAGTTATAAATTTTCTTGAATTTCTTATTGAGCTTGTTTCTTTTTTCTAATAAATGTTTATATTTTTACATATACACCCCTAAAAATTCTGTAGTGGACCTTATAATATGTTGTATGGGCCTTTTGGATGCAATATAGACTAGGCCTATAATGGGACCTACATTTTAATGGACTCGTGGCCCATCAACTTGAATTCTGTAGTTATATTTTTAGGATAAATTACAACTACCTCCCTGAGACAAAGTGTCATTACAAAAAACCCCCTTATTTTGAGAAACTACATCCACCACCTACAAAAGGGTATTAATGTAAGAATTCTACAAATTTCAAGGGTGTATCCGTGTCTGTAATTACGGAAAAAAGAGGGATTTTTTCGTAACTAGATCTTACCTCGGGGGACTTTTTATTGGAAATTGAGAAAATACACATGCATTTTATTCATAAATCATGATTTACTATACATCACGATTTCACTGAGAAATACCGAAGTACTCGTGGAATAAATCCAGGTTATTTGACTATTTATTTGAAAATGCAAAATTTAAAGAAAATAGTTACGTTATCATGGCGCGTGATTCTCAACCGCGATAGGGGAAGGAAAAGCACAACAACGACAACAAGATCCCGCCGGTGGAGGCGTACAACACACGCAAGCAGGGCATATAGGCCTCGTTGCAAGTACTTCTGTAGGAAAAAAGAAAATATATATCACACGTCACGAAAATGATAAAAGAAAATGAAATACTTGAAGAACTTATATCATTGATCACCACAAAAACGATTTTTTTCGAGAGGATGAGAGATAACCTTGAACAATGGTGACTCGAGCGGCGTCACCGGTGGATAACATCGGAGATAAAACGAAGACGAAAACGAGTATTGTGACCATGACGGAATTTACATTGTTGCTTGCCATTTCAATTGATGGATTAAATACTCTAAAGTTATAAGATATGAGATAATTAATCCTCAAATTAACAAAATATTACTACTAATTGTTAGTGAGGGGTAGGAGGTGTATTTATATGTGTTTTGTACATAGAAGAAATCATGTATATCAATTATGAACATGTTGACTGTGGATATGAACAAACTGTAGCTAGTTGCAGATTTGTTTGACTTTTGAAGTATTGGATCTATAATTTGAATTTCTATGCTTGCATTGACTAATTGGATGCTTCCTTAGTCCTTGGTCAACATTTTTTTAGTCAACTTTTTTTTTCTTTTCAATTTACTGTTGGCAACAACGGAATCGAGCATGTGCATATCACTCTCTTCACTGACGAACTAATGGTAAATTGACGGAAACGACAAAAAAATGTGAAATTGTTGACACATAAGGGATCAAATCATTTTTTTTTTCTGAACATGGGAACCAAATATAAAATGCATCAATACAAACTCAAGCGACTAAAAGTGTAATTTTCTCGAAGTTGTTCTGTTAATTTTCCTCTTTTTTGTTTTTTTTTTCCGAATAAAATTGCAGCATAAACACTCCTTTTCACCTTTTATTTAACTTCTCTTGATTATATCATCAGAACATGTTGAAATACAATTGTTTTCATTTAAATATGAAATAATTAACAGTATATAATATTGTAATAAATTAATGGCATTTAATTAATAAATAAGGGATTTATCAAGGGGTTTTGGTTCCTGATTGAGTCACATAACAAGCACAGTAGCAACATGGTGGAGGAATTGCAGTTTGGCAGCACAAACATGGAGGGCAATTTGGCTTCTGCATTAGCTCTGCATCACAATTAAATTAATATTAATTATTACACTCACAAAAAAAATATATATATAATCGAGGATATTTAATTTGTGTGTTCATGCAAGTTATCGGTTTTTTTAATTTATGTTCGAACTATACCTCGATAAGTGTGTCCCGTTGCATTACAAGGTGCGACCGGAGATAGTACGACGACGGCGAATATAAGAAACGCAATCGTAAAAGTATTGGCTCCGCCTCCAATTGCCATTTCTTGAATTATAAATAATAACTTGAATTTCACTTCTTCAAGATTGCAATTATATGTGTTTACAATATATAATTATAATTTATAAATACACCTTCATTTTATTTTTTTCCTTTTTATAGAGTTTTTACAAATGAATCATGGCTGCTTTACATTGACTTGGAAAGTTGACCTTTTCTAGTTACAAGTCATAGTTTTGCTTGATTTTTAGGTTCCTTGAATTAAAATTTCCAATTTTTTGGTATCGGAGAAAATACGAGATACATTTTTATTAACGGAGCCAGGATTTGAAGTTCGGAGGGAAAAAACACAGTAATTTTTTTATGAAAAGGGCCGATAATGCTTTTATATACGAAATATTGGTGCGATGTGATTGCTCCGCCACTGAATACATTAATATTAAGAGGTTAATTATATTGACATTATTCATCCCTCGTGTAAATTGAAATAAAATCTTAGTTTAGAGATACTCGAAGCAGACATTTAGAGCCGACGTAACCACGAAGAAGAAAAGTATATGAAAGTATTTTAATTAGGAGATAATTTGATTAAGGTTTGTGGAATAAAATTTTGCTATTTCTTGGCAACTTCCCTAGGTCTTAAAGTCATCATTAGACGGCTAATTTCAGCCTCAATGACGTGTGTGATGTTTAATTCTATTAATTAAGCTTTGTTAATTCTATTAATTAATTAATTTTCATAATCACACAAATGCGGGCCGGGCCACGCCCACACCAACTATCCACAATAGGCCCTAAGTAATTTGGGCCTCAGGCCCGAATATTTATACTAATGGAGGGCCCAATCCATGTACAAAGTAAAGTAAATACATGTATAAATAATTAAATATGCATATGAATTCATAAATAAAAAATCTAACCAATATTGTAAATCAGTCCAAACAAATCACTATAAAATGGCACAAATTACTTTTATTTGTCAAACAAATGCTGAAAGTGAAATTACATCATGAGAGACACACAAATTAAATTAAAGCTCCAAATCATTTCATTTTTATATCATTAT